CCTATTTTCATGGAGCACTTATTATCACACTCATTACTACCTCTTCTCTCATACTGCTAGATACTGAGAATTCCCAACAATAAACACACAGTAGAACCTGGTTACTCCAGCTCACTGTTCATGTCTCCAGATTTCCATCTTAGACTTCTGGCGTCAACATCGCAGGGTAGTCTCTGTACCCGTATTGCTGCATTTTAATTTCTATAGTGGTTAACAGTGAAGTCTCTGCAAGGATGATGGGGAAGATGTAGCCAACTTCAAAGGAAAATAGCCTACTGTGCAAGACAGAACGAGGCACTGTTCATTAAGCAAGAATCTGTTGATAAGGGCTGCTTGACCTTCGTGATTATCAAGGCAGAAAAGAAAACAATTAAACAGATGTAACTTATCTCTACAGCCCTTGGATGGAAGATCTTAGAGTTACAAGGGTCCCGGACAAGAGTTTCTGGAATATTCATGAGAAAATACCTGAAAATAAGTGTTTTAAAGCTTTTGGCAGTGTAACCTAGGAGCAACCATCATAAAAGCAGGACCCGAGCTCGGAGTTCAACGAGGAAGGACAGACCCAGCTGAGAGACTGAAGCCTGGCCAGCTCTCCCTCAGTGTGGGTAATACATAAGTCTCAGCCGTGAGTCTGAGGCAGCTTTATTTTTAAACTGATGTGTTTGATTCTGTAGCATTAAACCAACTAGGAGATAAATAAAGAAGTAGACTGCAGTAACAACGCAGGCTATAATCATTGTGTCCACTGGTATTGACCCAGAGAAGGTAATGGACAACAACTGCATGTGCAGCAACCATTCCACGCCATTTCATGGATCTTGGCATCCAACATGTACCAGTCTCACTGCTTTATCATGGCACATCTCCGATCCACTTAAGGAAAATTTCTACACTTTAATGGTGCACTTTGGAGTATATTGGCACCTTTGAAATTATTCTGATGGAAGTTGGCTATGCAGGAGCCCTGGTTCATCCTGAACACGGTTATCAAGGACCATTGCTGCAAAGGTAGGTTAGAAACTGCCTTTTGTAGAGGGGGGCTTGTCAAAAGAAACTTGTTAGTGACTTCCCATTCTTCCTATCACTTGATCCAAGGGATAATGACTGGTGGATGTTGTTCAGGAAAGTTGATCCTCATGGGATGACAAAATTGAAAGGAGGTAGTAGGGGGATTGAACATGTCATAATGGAATGCAGCTTGTGCATTTAGTTAGTCTGCAGCTGTATGGGGAAATGATGTTTATGAGGACAGGAAGTGGGATTTGGGTGCAGAGTTCCAGTTATTTTCCATATTGTCACATTCAGTTGAGTGTCAACAAAATGGATGTAAGATGTTCCAATAAGATAAACATTGAGCTCTCATTCCCATCACTTCCTGTTCATTACCTAGTCACCTATGATCAAAGACGTGTGTATGAAATGAATTGAGTTTAGTCTAGTGATAAAGTAACTTGGCAATGTTAAAGTTCACTGTTAAGGAGTACCTATTCAGCTAAAACACAGGAAAGCTGACACAGATTAAACCAAAACAGAAATTACTGGAAAAGAAGGACTGAGGGAGGGTCGCTCGATATGAAATGTTAAATTTGATTTCTCTCCATGGATGCTGCCAGGCCTGCTGAGTTTTACAAGCAATTTCTGTTTTTGTTTCTGATTTACAGCATCCACATTTCTTTCATTTTATTTTTACAGACTAAACTAATACCTTCATTCATGAGGAATTTGATAGAACCTTAGTTCACGTTGTTAATGTTGCATCAAGCGTGTGATTGTTCATCAAGAGGCAGACAATTCTGAAGGCATATTTGAACATCGAGATTTTCATTCCAAAAGTGATCATGGTTGTCTAAAATCAAAAACTTGCAATGCCATTCATTTGTAGACTTCTAACACTTCAATTTACTTCATTAAAGCAAAAGTCAGCTTTGAATGACAGCATCTTAGGTGGTTTGAATTTAATGTAGAATGTGAATATAGCAATCAGCTTAAGAAATACATGCTTCACAGATTTGACTTTTCTCAATTTACAAACAATAAACTGGCAACATGAGATAACAAGGAATAGAGCTGGATGAACACAGCAGGCCAAGCAGCATCATAGGAGCAGGAAGGCTGACGTTACGGGCCTAGACCCTTCATCAGAAATG